GATAGTAAGTAAAAATAATATTAAGTTTTAAAAAATAAAATGACATTGATTCTTAATAATAATAATGAAAAAAAAAACAAATTGGAAACTAAATAGGAATAAAAATCATAGTTAGAATATTTCTTTATATAGGGGTTTCAGAAAATATTTTAAGTACTGTATATTTTTCTTAGTTTGAAATTAATTATTTTTGGAGTGACCATAATCCTTAATTTATATTTTAGATTAGATAGAATCTAAATAATTAATTGTGAACTTTTTGAAAAATTTATTATTAAATTATTGATTACATCACTATAAAAACAGATTAAGTAGAAATAAATAACTGATTGAAGAGTCTTAGAAAGTTTAATCAATAAATTTAGATAAAATTATAGAGATCAAATTACTTAAATAAAATTAAAGCCATATGGTAAAAAAAGTTACCAAAAGAAAATAAAGACAAAAATATTCTAATAATTTTTTTTTTAATAATCAATATTTTTTTTAGTTATACAATTACATACCCATAGATTATTTCAATTTGAGTTTCAGATAAAATTACATATCCATAGATTATTTCAATATGACTTTCAGTTCGGTATTATGCGATTCTCATGTTCCGCACTAGATACAGTCATGTCCGATCACATGGTTGGGTTCATGGAATTTAGCCTTGCCTTATTAATTGTTATGTAAAGGTCCTCCCACTTTGTTTTCATTGTTCCCATTTGTTAATTAGTACAACTCTTTTTAGGAGTTTTATCTATCTACGTATGTTTTAAAAGAAAATTTTCATTTTTGGAGAAGCAGAATTATGTAACACGACTTTGCAGCTGTAAAATAACGGTAGAAAAACGTCTTAACACAAATTCAATTTCCATTATAAATGGTGAAGAAAAAACAAATACAAATACACAAAACTATTCGGTGCAATAAAAATATAGTGAAGCGTATAATTGCAAACACAAAATTCATCGACTATCGTGCAGTTTTGTTGACAAATTTTTTTGTATTTTTCAACGAGTTTAGTATGTGCTAAACATCAAAATAAAATATGAGAAACATGAGGGAAAATTGTTTTTCACCTCATAATCACATACATACATAGAATTTTTTTTTTTTTAAAAAAGAGGGCTATTCATAATAAGAAAAAAATTATTAAAGTTATAGATTTGGAGATGGGGGGCGGTCTCATAGAGGTGAAGTGTATAATAAGAGGGCAAACCTAGTTGCACTATAGTGAGTTTCTATCACAAAACCAATTGATGATGAGAAGGGTAACTCACTAGGCTTATAAAATAGGCTAATTTTTTCTATAAAATAATTTACAAGTGATATTCCAACAAGCATCCTCACTTGTGAATCATTCTTTAACCTGCTCGGATACCAAGTAGAGTTATAGATTCGGAGGAATGTGTGTGGTCCCATAGAGGTGAAGCATACATCACGCTCAGTTAGTAGAGAGAGTCATCACAAGTCCTAGATCAAGCGGAGGAATGTGTGTGGTCCCATAGAGGTGAAGCATACATCACGCTCAGTTAGTAGAGAGAGTCATCACAAGTCCTAGATCAAGCTCGATTAGTAGAGAGAGTCAACACATGTCCTAGATCATGCTCGATTAGTGGAGAGAGTCATCACAGATTCTAGATCAACGCTGCTATTATACCGCATTAGAGTTATACATTTGGAAGAACTGGTGCAGTCCTATATATGAAGTGCGCATCACGCTCGATTAGTAGAGAGAGCCATCACAGGTCCTAGATCAGACCTGCTCTGATAGTGTATTAGAGTTATAGATTCGAGGGAATGGGTGCGATTTCATAGAGGTAAAGAGCACCATATGAAGGTGAGCGTAGTTACACCTTCTATCTCAAAACAAATTAGTGATGGAAGGAATAGCTCACTAAGCTTATAAATTAACTAATTTTTATTATAGAATCAATGTGCGACAACTCATAAGTGATACTCCAACAAATATTGATATTAAGTATACATGAGTTTTTCCACAACACATTCTTAGGTGCGGTGTGATCAAATTTTCAAATGTGGGTTAGACAACCTTCAAAGACTCATTGTCCATTATGAGATGTACAACGGGGAGAAAGAAAACTAAGAAATTGTGTCTTCAATAATTAATGTTAATTATAGTATAATTTGACATTTATAAGATTGGCACCATATAGTGTCCATATGGGCACCATAGAATTTCTGATATGATTGGAGAAGAAATAAATTTAACATTTTCACTCCATGTGACAATGAAATAAAGCAGTACATGAATCGATCGAGATGCTCCCGTAGTCCAAATTCTAAATCTAAACTACAGTAATTTAACGTGTTAATTACTAAAAGAAATAATTAATCGCCAAAATGGCCAGAAAAAAATAAAGAATTACTAGGAATTGTTTAAGAATAAGAGGATATATCTTTTCCCCACTGAAGTGTCCAAGTGGTTCTTTTAATTATTTTATAGTATAAATGATTTTCTGCACTTGGAGGCTTGTGATCTAAAAGTCTTTCCTGTAGCTTTCAATTTTCATATCCTTTTGATCTTCTTCTTTCTTCATAAAGTTACAGCCGCCAACTCCACACACACTATAGTGAGTGTTAATAAGATGGAAAGAGAGAATCATTTAAACCAAGGCAGCTTAATTTGCTTTTGTCCAGAAGCTAATTGCTTTTGTTTATTTTTTGTATCTCAACTTTTCTATGTGTTTATTTATTTATTTATTTATTTATGTCAGCCATGTTTCATAATAATCGTTGTTTGTCCGAATTACATTTTCTAGGATAAAATACAGTTAGTCATAGAGATGTTAAACGGGCTAGCCCTAAAAATTTCAGGTTAGCCCTAGCGAGTTTTGGGTTAAACGGTCCGGACCTAAAAAGTCCAGATTTAAACGGGCAACCAAAAAAAGAACTTAACCTAACCCTAGCGGGCTTCAGGCTAAACGGGCTATGCGGGCTATGGCTATAATAATAATAATAATAATAACAATAATAATATATACAAAATAAAAAATAAAAAGAGTAAAAAATATAAAAAAAAAAATAACAACGGTTAGTTAAAAATTATTTTCAACGGCTATTTAGTATTTACCGTCTATCACTATGTTTCATGTATTTCTTATAGTCGTTCTAATTGACTTAAATATTTTGGTATGAAGTATAATAACA